CGAAACTTGCAAACTATTCATCAATAGCCTTCATAAAGTCTTTTACCTTATCGTGCTCTGGAATTGACCTTTGAATGCTTATACTGATGTGGGACTTGATGAGCATTAGACTCAAGCAATTTGATCGCTCCCATCAATCATACCAGCTCTCTCATTTAGCTTGCTTAATTCTGTGGGGATGACTGGTTCGTCCACACGAAGTGCCAAGTTAATGTCCATGCACCTTATAAGAGGACTTTTTCTTTCCAGTCGAAAAAATTATCACTACACAGGAAAGGAATACGAGACGAATCATTATAAGTAGAAACAACTACATAACCAAGAAACACATTCATTATTGCTATGAAACATTAACAATAATCTGAATCAACCAATGTCAAATTTAGTAGCAAAATTTAAACCTTCATATGGACAGAGGTCGCAACATGCATGAAATTTGCTATTACTTTTATAATAAGACTGACAAATTTTAGAATACTAAGAAGACAAAAAAAAAAAGAAACCATACCTGTGGGTATAGGGCATCCAATCCTCATAGTACCCAATTCACTATCTTATTCCAACTAAGTATTACAAAATAATTTCCTCCCTATGGGGCCAAGCAAGTACTCATACAAACTTAATTGCAATATTAAGATGCCAACATTTTTTTTATCTTTATATGATCAAAATTTATTAATCACTAATCAACATGACTTAATATGTTATGGCTAATCATAAGTCAATATGATATCTTTATGTTGCATAATTCATGACATAAATAAATCCTTAAATTCATGTCAAATTATTTCTTAATGTTAAACAAGTGACTTTCCCAAAATACATGTGATGCATAAAATTAATCAAAAGTATTCATCACATAATATATGCAAATATAATTATTGTCTTAAATAGCATGCCACAGTAATGGAAAAATTTGACAGCCAAATTCAAACATTTGAGCCTCAAAAATCACATCAAAACAACCCAATATTGAAAAATAAATAATTCCCAAAATCTAAAAATTAATTTTTAATGAACCAAAAGTAGGCTATGTATGTGAATCATAACTGCTCAAAAGTTATAATGAATCTGAATAAAATCTGCATTCACAAAAGGGACCAAATTGGTTGATTTTATTCCTACAGTATTGGGTCTTTTTTTTTTATAGTCACCCACTGTGGAAGCAGAATTACTTTGAGGGTCAAACACAAACAAAGATTTGTTCTATTTTAATCTAGAAATTTAAAGCTTTAATGCAATCGAACCATTGTAAATTATAGTAAATATAATTCTAAAATAGTGATTTGAATTTAATAAACTTGATGTTGTTTCAATGATTAGTTTAATAAAAAAATACTTTTGATATTGACCGAAAAAATCTTGGTTTTAAATCGGTAAAAGAAAACTTTGTTGTTGATCGACTCAAGCAAACCACTTTAGTTCCTTTTAACCCATATAATCCAAACATGTTGTTAAAAAAAAAAAAAAAAAAAAATTGTGTGCGGTGGTTTTGGCATAATAAACAAATTGACAGATCTCTCCCTTGATGAACTTGAGTTTGACTAAAAAGTCGAAGGTTCCATAGCAAACGGATGTTGAGAAAATGGTAATGAATAGTGATGAAGCTCTTTACAAACGATCTGCTCACTCGTGAGATATCGAACTGGATCCTGTCACTCAAAAAATAAGGTTAGAAGGGCGTCAGAGTGTTTTCCGATGTAACCCCTCTGACGATCAAATTAGTATGTGAGAGAGGGTTGGAAAAGCACTATTATATTGCTTGGGTGAGATTTGCATACCTTAGACTTGAGTTTGAGTGTGTTATTTATTATTGGAACGGAAATCTCAAGAGCCGTTGACAGCGAATATGTGTCGAATTTCAAAAATTTTCTTTTAATATCCTACAAGGAAGAATTTGGGTTTACCTTCAAGATCCCTCGGGATTGATCTTCTCTCAGCATGAATGTAGAACAAAATCAACAAGCAACCGAAGGACAGCTCGACGAACCTTGTGGCCTTCTGTCTTATATCCTCAAACGTCAGAATCCGGATGCAGTGTGGGCTGCCAAGACCTTTAAATCCTTACTCTCTCTTTCAACCTCTCTTAAAAACGTGAGTAAAGAATAGATGCTGAATAAGAAAGCCTAGACGTCTATATCTAGACTACGATAGAGACCCTAAGGAGAAATAAGGACCGGGCTTCCAATGAGTTTAGAAATCCTATGTTCAACTAAGAACAAACACCCTATAGCCCATTAATAATAAGTCAGTCCACTAAAGACTTATTATTGATCTCTTGAGTCTTACCTTAAAATTATATTCGAGTTCCTTATTATTATATGTTTAACAATATTTGCACGTTTAAGATTACAGATATCTATCAATTAAATAAATTGCCGATAATTATTTTTAATTGACTTCTTTTATTCCTTGACACCTTACCACCCAACTTATTTGTTATATCGTATAATTAAATCCACCTGCAGGCTTTGACATGGATAAAAATTATGAGTTTTTTCAAGAGAACATCATCGACACATTTAAATATTAGGACGTGGTTTCCTTTAATATTTAATTTTTACCATACAAATAACATCGTCTCCCAATTCACCGATCTTATTGACTCAATATGAATCTCACCCTTTGATGAATTAAAGTGACAAATATTATATGCATGTGGCAATTAAATATTTTTGGGATTAACAGTATAAGCAATCATAATAATCATGAAGTATTTATTATGTTATTGAATCAGGAAAAGATAATAAACTCAACATAGGTCTGTTCAATACACAAAGTGTGAACATACTATGCAAGAATATTTTACTACAACCATACCAATGATGTGTTCAATTCCATCTAGAATTGTGAACATATACTCATATTATACAAGGATTCAATAATCTGATTTTCTGTGTATAAACCGAACTCCACGCACCAGATTATCCACAATGTAAAATATAAGACACATATGCATATCATATATTAAATATAATGAAAACATTTTTGCTCATACAAATTTTCAATAAAATGAAAAGAATAAACTTTTATTAATTAATAAAACGAGTTTTACTAAAAAAAATAAGCTTTTAGTATACTACTCTATCAATTTATACCTCTCTAGAGCCAATCATTGCGGACAACTGGGTCTCTTGAAGGGAAGACTACTTATTGGCTCACTTGGAAGGCAGAATGTGGTGCACAGTCCTTAAGTAGAGTGCCCTTCTTTTTTACGTGGCAGAAGTTTTCGCATTTAATGCACGGATCCCCGAGCATTTAATATTTTTCCTTCATGACTTTGCTGAGCAATAAAAGTGTCCTATCCTTCTATTGGTCATTTAATGTGTCACGATTGTGGATGCACATGCGCAAGGGGCATTCTTGTCCATTACCCCCAAGAGGTCAAAAGCCACAAGTCATTGAACCCTATATGCCTTCCTTACTGGTTGCTAAACTGTATTTGCAACCAATCTGGCTACCTTGGGAAGGGTGATCAATGATTGATAGTCACCCCCACTGTGAGTAATGATGCTTTACTCTATCTCGATCGTGGGTATGCTCGCATCAACTAACCTCTCTTTTTTTTTCCTTGGGAACCTAACATTATCATTTGGCAAGGAATAACCGTCTAAATAAGCGACTAGCAATAGTGTCAAGAACACATGTCAAGCAAAGATGCTCCAAGGACAATAGTGCCAAGGCCACGCGTCAAGCAGAGGACACTATTGGTGACCTTCTTGTTAAGGACACGTGTCAAGTAGAGAGATACTTCGAGGACAGTAGCGTCGAGGCCACATGTTAAGCAAAAGACATTCTGAGTGATATTCACGCCGATGATATATGTCAATCAGAGAATGCTCTAAGGAGTCTGTACACTGAGGACACGTGTTGGTAATTGGGCACTCCGAGGACATCCATGCCAAGGACACGTGTCACTCCATGGAAGCTCCAAGACCACCACCCCAAGGACATGTGTCGCCTCCCCATCAATTTATGGAAGCATCCCATCAAAAACTCGAGTCACATAATTCATGAAAATTTTTTGGAAGCTCTTGTCTTACAGACATGCTGTTATAAAAACTAATGGGTTAGGAAGCCTTAAGTGTGCATGAATTCAACACAAGAAAATATCAGGCATGCGTACAAGAGATCAAAATAATTGTCCATGTATGACAAGAGATGCACATAATTTTTATTTTCTTTTAAACTTTTGGCACACGAGTTTTTGGAGATATGAAAACCGAAATATGCAAAGCAAATCCAGCGATCAAAACTTCGAGATGAAGCATAATCCAAAATTAGCATTTATCGGCATGCATATTAAAATAGATCTTTAGGCCAAACAACACAGTAGAAAATGTTAGAGTCAAATGAGAGAATTAAGTGTCGCAGCGGAATAGAATACTTATCTCTCGTTATGTCATTCAAGTCTTGTTAACCTTAAATTCTGAATCACGAGTCTTGTTGATTAAATATTCACACGAAAAACTAAACACTTTCATTGACAATTTATAGAGGTGTGAGAAAAGGGTTTCCAACTTGGTTTACGTTCAGAATAGACTGTATATCGGATGACATTCACATATCCTTATTTATAGACAAGAGACTTCAATCCTTATCACTTAGATAGATTGACTTTATAAGGTTCTTTCCATCAAAGACTCTAAAACTAATCCGATAATCACAACTAATGTAATAACCACTATCTTATAATGGATAAATTGACATAATTTCAATTATCAAATTTTGACTCAAAATTATCTATATAATTTATAAATATTAAATTATCATAATATGTGGGCGACTTTACTAACAGAAACTTGACTTCTTTTTGTTAGTCTCTCTCTTTGCAAGCTTTGAAAACCAAGATGTTTTCTACAACTGATAAGCTTACCCCACTCTTTCTTGTAAACCTTCCATCGTACTCTCTCTCTCTCTCTCACACACACACACACACACACAATAACAGGAGATCAAGAGGAAAAAATGAGTGACCGCTTTCATCAGCAACATCTTCATCACCAGAATTTCCGCCACAGAATCTCTTTCTTGCCACTGATGTGCCGAGTATCGATCAAAGACGTAAATCTCCCTGGAATTTCTGCCCATTCGTCTTCATCCTCCTCCTCCGATGACCCTTCATCTCCTAGAGTCAGCTGCATGGGCCATGTTGATAGAAACAACAAAGTCACTGGCTTCCCAACTGCATACAAATTACACACTCCAACCACAACCACTACTGCAGCCACCGCCACCACCAAGGCCAACCACCACCACCACCACCGCAAAATGAAAAATACAAAGCTCAAGAGGTTCTTTTCCAGCAACAACTTCACTGCCACCAATACCGCCACCACTAGTAGAAGTTGTACTACTAGCAGAAGAGGCATGACCATATGTGATACTACAAGAGCCAGGTTGAATGATCATAATGATAATCATGTCCCAGTAGTCAACGTTGTTGAATTGGATCCGCCGTTGCCGGTGATCAAGCGGATGCGTCCACTGGCGGCTGGCCGTGATGAAGTGAATCTATGGAAGAGAAGATCAGGTGGGATTGAATTAAAAGGTTTACAAATTAAACAAATTCATGTACCCGACAATGATCAGTTCTTACCACCAACCACAGTATGATGAAATATTCCAATTTTTCAAAGGTAATACAACTTAAACATATTGTAAATGTATTTCTTCTTGTCAATCAAAATTGTAGATTCGAATTCAAATTTTCTTTTCTTGAAAACATTTGATGGTTTTTTTTGCCGCAGGATTCAAATTCCCTAAAAAGTTGATCTAAATTATTATCATAATGATGTTTTAAGTTATATAGTTTGAAAGAAAAAAATTTCCCAGTCCCACTCACAACAATACTATTAGATTTTGTCACTGTCATATTAGATAAACAAAATATGTCAATTTTTTAAGTCACAATAACATTATTGGGTTAATTATAAATTGTACCTTGAAAAATCATTTGAATTTCAATTTGCACCCTCAAAGATAGAAATTTATATCAATGTGCACCTATAAAGATCAAATATCTCAATTTGTACCCTCAAAGATAGAAATTTGTATCAATATGCACCCCAAAAATAAACAATCTCAATTTACACTCTCAAATATATAAATTTGTATCAATGTGCACCTAAAACTAAATTGATAAATTATACCTAAATTCCTTATGTTTGTCACTTAATCATTTGTACCCCTTCACATTTAGAGTACTACTCATACATCTCATAACGTTTGTGCACGTGTAACATGTGACCCCTTTTCGTTGATATATGTTAATATAATCATTAAAAAATATGATTTTATCATAATAAAAATTATAATTTCATATTACCCTTTATTTTATGAGTGTAATATACTCTAAAATTCAAAATTAAGCTTACTATTTGAATGCCTAATAGAATAAAGGGTTGCACATTGAGTGATATATTTCATTGAATATAAAAAATATTATATAAATATCTACATTCTATTGGACATTCAAATGATAAGTTTGATTTTGAACTTTACAGTATATCGGACCCACAAAATAAAGGGTAATATGAAATTATAATTTTTTATTAGGATAAAATCATATTTTTTAACGGTTATATTAACATATATGAACGAAAAAGAGTTACATGTTACACGTGCATAAATGTCATGAGATGTAGGAGTAATATTTTAAATGTGAATGAGTTCAAATGATTAAGTGACAAGTATGAGGGGATCTAGGTAAAATTTATCAATTTAGTTTTAGATGCACATTAATACAAATTTTTATGTTTGAGGGGGTAAATTGAGATTTTTTATCTTTGGGAGTGCACATTGATACAATTTTTTATCTTTGAGGGTACAAATTAAAATTTTTGATCTTTAAAAGTGTAAATTAAAATTTGAATTATCTTTCAGAGTGCAACTTACAATTAACCCAACATTATTCTATCAACAAATTAGTCTAGGTACAAATATTTTTGACCTTTTATGGGAGTTCAGATCTTTTGAATTTAGGTCGAAATTCACTACAATAAAACGACAAATACTAAGTCAAACAAATGTAGATCATTAATTTTCTCATTGTGCAGTAGTTGTGGTAAAAAAAAATTGATTTTGACGTAAATAACTAGGATGCGGAAGCCTCGCTTGGAATTCATCATGGGAAGCTAATAATTATGGTTGCATCTGGATGTCATTTTTGACTTCCCATACCCTAAAAATTATATTTTAGTTTTTCAGTTCCACTTAGTTTTATCCATTGATGGGTGACATAAGAGTTCGTTAATTTAGTCAAAGCAACTTAGGTAGTCCAACACTATCATGGTATATGTAGCAGCTTTCGCACTATAATGTGGCTCGGAGGTGTCTGTTTGTAAGGGCCCACCTCACATGGAACCGTATTTTTATGACTCTTGCAGGAGGAAAAAAAAACAGTGGTTGGCTCAGTGTCTATTATACGAGTAACGCATATCTGGCGCTAATATCCGATGTTACGGTGATATTATATTATAATTATTATATGGTGTTATTATTTAATTAAACATTGTCAAATAAATTAAGTAAATCTTATTTTTTTTATCTGAGTTTGTGGAGCCCACAAACTCATTTAGTTTTTATTAATTAAGTGATGATATTACATGTTGATTATGACATGATATTTTTGTTTTATTAAATACTAGTTATTATCCGTGCTTGAAGGTATAAAGTAATAAAAAAATAATTAACAATAAACATATTTATATTTACATTCAAAATTAAATCCCAATCATAGAGAAGAGATAAAAGAATTTAAACACCAATTGTAATGGGGGTGAGCGGTGATAGTGATGGTGAGTGGCAATGGTGGTGGTGGGAGACAGTGGTGGTTATGGTGGATGGCGACGACAGTGGAGGTGGTGGCAACCATGGGTGACAACGATGATGGTACTGGTGGGTTTTGGGTGACGGCGTAGGTGGTAATGGGTGTGGTTGGTGGTTGGCAATAGTGATGATGGTTGACAGTGGTGATTGTGGGGAAATGATGATAGTGGTGGCGGCGGTAAATTATAGTGGTGGGTAGGGACGATTGTGGTGGTGGGTGACAACAAGTGCTTTTAGGCAATAATGTGATGGGTGATGGTGAATGACAGTGGTGATAGCTGTGGGTGATAGTGAGTGGTGACAGTAGTGGGTGATGACGGGAGGTGATAGTTGGTAGTGGTAAGTGTGATGGGGGTGGGAGATAGTGGTTGGCGACAATGATGGGCGACGAAGGGTGGTGGTGGGTTGTGGTAGTGGATGACGGTGGATGGCGGTGGGCAACAATGGTGGTGGTCGGTGTTGACAGTGAGCGACAATTGTAGTGGGATGATAGTTGTAGTGATAAATATAAGAATGAGATGATGATGGTAGTGAGTGATAGCGGTTGACGATAGTGATAACAATTGGTGGTGGGTGACAATGGTGGTAGTGGTGATGGTCTTGGGGGAGGGTGGTAGGGGTGAGTGATAGTGATGGGGGATGGTAGGGTGGCGGTGATGGTGATGGTGGTGGTCGTGATAGTGGTGATGGGGGTGGTGGTGGGGGTGGGAGTGGTGGTGGTGGTGGTGGTTGTTGTTGTTGTTGTTGTTGTGTTAGAGGTGGTGGAGGGGCGATGGTGGTAGTGGTGATGGTGGTGAAGTAGTTTTAAACAATTTTTTTTAAAAAAAATACTTATGAGAAGTTATAAGTATTAGTATCACTTTTAAAAAGTCACCCTAAATACACACTTATACTACGTTTGGTATGAAGGATGGAAAGTAGGAGGAATACACTTTTTATCCTTCAAGGATAGAAAATAGGAATGATATATATTCCTTCCTTTGTGTTTGGTTGGATAGATAAAAAAAAAATGACTAATTTTATTTTTATTTTTTTTGTGCTGGCTAAAATTAGGGGTGATAATTGAGTCATATTGTGTCAGATTCTTGTTGAGTCAAAAAATTATGATCCTTTTATATTTCTTGTTCCCGTGTGAGGTCTTTTTCAAATTCGTGTCATAAAATTCATGTCGAGTTTGAGTCATGTCACTGTGTTGAGTCGAAAATTTTTACCCCTAGTTAAGATAGAAAAACATTTTTTAATTTAAAATTTTAATTTAATTTTTTGATTTTTAATTTTTTTTAAAAAAATATATATATTTATCATTATATTTTTATATGAAATTAATATATACATAATATATAGACAAATAAGATACATCTCAACACAAAATAATTAGTTTTTTATCTACTTTCCTTCCGATTTTGGAGGGATTGATTTTGGTGAATTGGAAGGAAAGTTAATCTATTCACTTTTACATTTTTCTTATTTTCCTTCCTTACTAACACATGATGTTTTATATATCCCTCCAACTTTCCATCCTTCTCACTTTTTATCCTTCTATTTTTTCATCATCCCAAATGGAATATTAGGGCCTATTTTTCTATTAAATTTGGGATGTTAATATTAGTTATCTGATTAACTTTAAAGTAAAATTTAAAAACGATTTCAACCGCGAAAAACAAAAGTAATTTTGTTCATCTTTTGAGATTTGAATTGTATTGTACTTTATTATATAGATTTTCTCAGTTCAACCTCGACAACAATAAATGAAATGAAGAGCAATCAAACTTGACAATGAAATTACACCCTTTGGACTCATAGTTATAACAGAAATGAAAATAATAAATCCACTAGAATTGATATCAAAAATTATGATAGGTCCGGTTTCGAGGTGAATGAGCGAGACATGTACAGCAAAACAAGTGAGTTGCATTTCTAGTTCATATGAACGAAATTGTACAAGAACATGAGTAAGAAAAGCCCTTCCTAAGCCATAGATAACAATATTCACAGCTACCAAGTCCCTTCAATGGCAATCTTTATTACAATAAAAGGCTATTACTAGAGCCCTGTCGTCCCAACTCAAATTTTAAACTAGTGGTGTTGCAGCAACAAATTAATTATATTGTGACTTTAAAATGCGGAATATATTGGGTTTGTGGACATAATTTGCTAACCGCAATTTAATTTATAATAAATCTCAATATCAAATGAAATCAATACCAATCAAACGATAACAATATATTAAATTAATAAATTAAATTCAAGTAACGTTTTTTGAGCACAAAACAAAACTACTATTTAAAATTATGGTTGTACTACATTGACCTAAACAGCAACTCATCCAACAAACCAATCAATTTGAAGCAGTCAGCTCATTTACCAACTCCCCCTGTTGTGTGGGAGTTGTTTTGGTGTTTAATCACATAGACAAATACTCTAAGATCGATTAACAGCCTACCTTAAAATTACAAATATTTACTCATTATAGCAACAGATAAATTATTAGGATTAATGGTCTTTTTGGTAGGGTGAATGAAAAAATAGAAGGATAAGAAATATGAGTGATGTACTTTTCATCATTTGAAGGATAAATTTTTCATTCTCTCCTTTGTGTTTGATAAAAAAAATTGAAAGTATGAAGGATTGACTTTTTTTTTACTCTGTGTGTTCCATAAGATAGAAAAAACATTTTTTTTATTTTTTTACTTTAATTTTAATTTTTTAAAATTTTTATTAAAAAAAATATAAATACATATTTTACCATTGTATCTATATATGAAATTAATGTATACATAATATATAATTAATAAATATGATATATGTATGTATCAAATAATATATAAATAAATAGCATATTTCAACACACATAATTAACTTTTCATCAACTTTTTCTCTTAATTTTGGAAGAATTTATTTTAATGAGTTAGAAAGAAAGTTAATGCATCAACTTTTTCATCTTTTCTATTTTCTTTCTTACCAAACTTTCTTACCAAACTTTTTATCGTCCATTTTGCAATCATATCAAACAAAGTATAAGTGTTCTCAACTCTTTGGTACATTTGATAGGGTGGGTTAAAAAAATGAAAGAATAGAGAATAAGAGTGATATACTTTTCATCCTTCAACGGAAGAATCCTTCAACCCCTTATGTTCCTCCGTTTCCTCTTTTTTTTGGGAGGGAAAAGGAGAGATGGAGGAGAAAAACTTAAACCCTTGATCTAAAGAAGACAAAATTTTTACAAAGTAAAGAGTATTATTAGACTAAAAATCCATTAGTACCTTTGTATTTAATAAGAGGGATGAAAAATAAAAATTATTAATTTTTTTTGTACTTGATAAGATGAAAAAAATATTTTTAATTTTTAATTTTATTTAACTTTTATATAATAGGATAGATTTTTTTAGACACTCAAATTTTATGAGTCATCATAACTTCAAGCGTGGGTTATAACTAATAGATAAATAACATACATATCAAAATACATCAAACTATCCTATTATACATGTCAGAACACAGATTTGCTGATTAGACTTTCTTAAATACATCTATACCAACTTACAAAAAAGGCATCAAAGAGCTAACACCTGGGAGATCCAACGTTCACAAGGTTTAATACCCTAAAAATTTAATTTGTACATGAAGGTTAGGCCAAAGGTCAAGGTTGACAGCAATGCCATGCATCAATTTTGCTCTTTATAAGGAGTCCATATCAATTTGGTAACATCAACCTCAAGACCACCTCGGCCGGCTGCTTTAAGATGACGATCCAATACCTTGGGATCTGCACATATGACATGTTGCCCCTTTCGATACTGGATCAATTCCAAGCTCTGAAGGGTGGCCAAGATATCCTCTGCCTTAATAGCCGTCATATCACTTAGCTCCTGTGGCAAGCCACCACCAGAAACCAGTTAAGAAACAGAATGGTAACAAAAAAAATCGTAACGGGCCTATGAAGGAAAGGTGGGGGAATCAATCACGAATTTGGCATCCACCCCAAAATCGTTCACTTTTTTCCACATTAGCTGCCCTTTTAATAGAGTAAGACATTACTTAAGTATTTCCATTCACATGCTCCAACTTGGTTTTTGTTCTTTTCAAGATGTAACGCAGACCTCTACAGTGAGAAAGAGAGGGCAGAGAGGGGAGAGGATGGGGAGTATGGTCATGTCATAGAGTATCCCTTCCCCCTTCAAAGGCAACATCACCCCCCCTCTTTCCCCTTCAAATATAAGAGTCAGCCCGAAACCCTGTGTATCAAGCTTCTCCAGATAAGGAGTCAAACAAATGATTTCTATGTTCATTCCCTTGCTTGCTATCAAATTGGCTAACCATGAAGGCATTGTGGTGATGACGCTGTTCAACAGGATTTCTATGTTCATTCCCTCGCTTGCTGTCAAATTGGCTAACCATGCAGGCATTGTGGTGATGACGCCATTCAACAGGATTATTAATGCCTATAACTGATACAACAAACAATATAGATGTACAATGAATAGTTCAACCAAATGTAAAACGTGGATACCCAACATCCAAAGACAAACCTTGATAGAGATATTGCCCTTGTGCTTCTTCAAAATATCTAAAAGAACACGGGTCCAGTATCCCCGGTAGCTTAACAGTCCTAGATCAGAAAGGGGTCTTTCTGGTGTGCCAACTTTGCCTTCTTTCTTTGATAGTTCATATGCTGCACAATGTTAAAATGAGATTGCAAACTATTCACACTAGAAAAAAAAAATACCAAAGACAAAGAAACCTGGAAACTATCAAAAAGACATAGTCTGATACTTCTTCTACAAATGACCAAAAAAAAAAATACTTCTTCAACAATAATGACAATAGTAGAATGTGAACCCTGACATTTCTCTACCAAGAAACCATCATTGGCTATGGAATAGTGCATTTATGAAACTAAGCAATTATACAGCCTTCAGGACTTGGCAGCAGACATAGGATTCCAGGTAAACTTGTCTCCCAATACCGATCCAACCAATAGTTACTTCCAACAGCCTAGGTGATGAGGAAGAAAATAGTGCACCAGCCATCTAGACTTCAGTTTCAGAAAGGGATACCCTAATCATCATTGAGCTTTGACAAGGGGCTTCCTCAAGTCTAGCGCAAATGATTCTAATTACATCGTTGTGCAATAAGGTTCCTAAGTTCCTACTTTACTCCCGTAGTTTAATAAAGCAAGAGATCCAATTGGGTTGTCCTAACTTACATCTTGAATCAAAACATCCTCCTCGCTAAGTAGATGTAGCATTTTTTAACAATGCTGACTGGAAGAGCCAAACTTATTCATTGTCCACAAAATATCCAATTTTTATTTCCCCCCCTCTTCTTTCCCAAAAAACAAAACAAAAGAAAACACACACAAGAAGTAACAAGGAATATCACTTTTCCATATTGAAAATTTAAAAAAAAAAGGTCTAAAACAACGGATGAATTTAAATGGGCAGCAGCTCACAAAATGCGATTAGGAATTTCCCATAGCCTTTCCTCTGATAAGGAGGAAGAGTGAGAATGCAAGCCAAATTATAGGACTCCTCAGAATGCTTTTCCTGCATCATCAGACCATGCATGGTTAAGGAGCAGTATTTTTCTACATCTTTACAAGAACGTCACCAATTTCCTTCTGAGGTAATCAGAATGTCAAAAGCTTCCAAGGGAGTTTCCATAGTATTATAACTGTGCAACATCAAATAGTGCACAATATGGAACCAAACAAGCAACTAAAATTTGAAAAGCAAAATTTAATGCACTGCTGGCACATTCGTATCATAAAAGTCAAAGTTTGACATAATAAATTTGCAGTGTGCCTGACATACATTTGGTTACCATCCACTGACTTGTGACAACTGGATATGACATAGACACTATGGGTTTATAAAATTCAAAGAAGTGAGAGCACCAAGGCCAATAATTATATGACTTATGAGACCTAAGCTACCATAGGGCCGGTGGGCCTAAAACAAGACAGGCCAGGAAACTAATTATATTCAGAGTACAATGCCAAAACACACTTAAACTATACCACTTGTTTCAATTAAGTCCCTAAACTTCAATTTGTCTCAATTCAGCCTCACGCTTTTGACTTTGATTCAATTTACCCCCTTCCGTCCAATTCTGTTAGATTTTGTAATGGAATGGGCAGGTTTGACTTTCACGTGATTGATCAAGAAGGGCATTTAGACAACTAACAAAAAATTGAAATACTCATGCCCCACTTCTCTAACCTGCTCGCCGGACTTGTCCCTCCTCCATCCTCTTCTTTCTCTCTTCATTTCTCTAACAAATCAGTAAACACAGAAATATTTCAAAATTATCAGAGTCACAATGCAAAAGAACACACCGACAAGCCACTACTGCCAACCACAATCAGTAACAAGTTCAATCCCAATCACCCAATTTCAAAAAAAACTGAATCATATCAGTTCCCGTTTGATATGCAACAAAGGGTGTGGGATGATTCTGCAATGGCGTCAGGGTGGTGGTTGGCAGTCGAGGAAGGGGTAGGGTCATAGGGTAGGGGTTGGGTTACCATGACCTGGCCATTTGATTGCTGGGTGGAAAAAGGTCAAACGTGGGAGTGGGTGGGTTGGGGTGGTCATGCAAGAGGGTGAGGGTGTCGGTGGGAGTCAGGGAAGGGGAAGGGTTGCAGGGTGGGTTATGGGAGGGGCAAACAGAGGGGATGGAAGATGAGGGTGGAGAAGGGGGTGAGCGTGTGGTAGGTGGTGTTTGGTGGTTGATGATATAGGGTTTGATGACTGAAATAATAAAAGACGAGAGGAAGATGAAGGTCAGATGGAATCAGATCGGGTCAGGCGGGTTATAGCATGGATGGATTTGGATATTTGTGGTTGTTTATTACTTGACTTGAATTCTTCTCTTAATTGATCACGAGTGGTCTGCGTGTGCCCATTCCGTTACAAAATCTTACAAAACTGGACAGAAGGGGTACATTGAAGTAAATTCAGAAGTTTGAGGACTTAATTGAGTCAAATCAAAGTTAAGGCCTTAATTGAAACAAGTGGCATGTTTAGGGGCTAATTCGGTAATCTACAAATATTTATAAACTGCTAGGAAACACATAAAAAGCAGCTAATTGAATTGACCAGTAGCCAGCCTAATCATTCATAGCATAACAGCATGGCAACTGCTGTCAAACAGCAACTATGAATATCCCAAAAGGTTTTCTTAACAAAAAGATAGTGCTAAAACTCTGGCAGGACAACTAGAAGAGTGGTAACAGAATTGCAAATGGCAGTCTAGTTCTACAACAATTACCTTGGAAAAGTATCCAACCATGTGGCATCCTCGATCATCGCATTCACAGAGCACGTAAAACAGAAACAAGTCAACATCATAATAGAGGGTCTTGTGATCAAGGAACAATTTTGCGAGATAGCAAAGATTTTGTCCATAAACCTTGTTCTTTTTGCCATCAACCTGTCTCGCAACATTAAAATTCAGGAAAATCGAGAGGAAGTATTCTTAGTACTTACATTAGCAAAAACAAACCAGCAACCTAAATGTAAGTTTGGAAGTTCCATTATACTTAACAACATAACTTGCAAAATCTCAGAGTTTGTTCACTAAAATAACTACTTAGAATATGTAATCATGGTATAGACAAACACAAGCCCTCAAGAATTATAAAAAGAGAAATAAAATAAAATAAAATAAAAATGAAAAGAAAATTCTGATAAGATACCTCAAACATTGACAGGGTACCACTCCGATATATTTCATCACCAGGGGGGTGCTTAAGATCGCATTTTTTCTGCAAGCATAAAATCCAAATCAGAAAATGCTCCAAAAAAATGCTCCTTACCTACTTTAGCGAAATTCCCTCATAGAAAAAAACTTACAAAAAAACACAAACAGTAACAATAGAAAAACAAATGAACATCTTTAAAATGAAATCCAAGGTATAAAGGAAGAAGAACTTCCATAAATGCAGCAAAATTAAATTTCTTAGATTTCTATATCCAAAAGCTAAATTCTGTGAACACAGAGAAAAAAATTATAAAAAATAACAATATATTTCACTCTTATTAAATATCCTCTAGCCAATGAGAATTCCAATCGATTGAATTATTTTATTCAGACTGTCTGAAAACTGCATTTTGAACTTCAATTGGGAAAATAGATAAAGTCTTAAACAAGCAAACAACTCTGATGTATAGATGTGAGTGTAAATATAGGTTTACAAGCATGCAAAAACACACATATAGCCACTATGCAAATGAGCTAAAACAAGCATCCCTCAACATGACCACACTAGTTTCAAGGAAGCAAGCAAGGTTACCTTATGAGAATTCATATTTCATTCGTGCTGGTCAGTCAATCCTTGCTGGACAGGTCGTTCGTACAAAGCAATTTAACATCATTAATTTTGTAATGCATAGCAAATACAACGCTCAATCAACTCAACTCAACAAAGTCTTACACTAACTATTATGGGTTAGAACATGAATACTTCGGTCATTCAGCTCCAGCTAGAGCCCTAATTTTAATCCAATTCAGCTTTAAGACTCAATGACTGATATGGCTGTTAAACAAATTGAATTACTCAAGCTTGGCTCGTTTTTAGATCGTTCCAATTGTTCGTTTCGTAATATGAGCCAAATCTGAACAACTTTTTAGGCTCGTTTAGCATTTGAACCAAACCCAAGTTGAACTAAGCTATTTGCTTGCTAGCTCGTTTTTTCCACTTATACAAAATGTACTTGTAAATTGATAGTAATCTTAAGGATATTTAGCAAGTTCACAAACATAGAAACCATTTCAAAATTCAAACCATTCCATCACAAGGACCTATGTATGCCACAGTCCAGTGTCCCACTTTTCTTTTCTTTGTTTTTTGGTATTACGATCGAGGTTGTCCGGCCCAACTTAAGAGCATCTTGACTAATCCCCTCCTCGTTCTGGTCAAAAACAGATCATCCATATTAGGACTAAGAACTTCATGAGGGATAAATCCAAAGGAGCTGTCAAGTTTCAAACACAGGATGTCTAGGTTTACAGCATATGTTTATCTCCACTGGACTACCCCTTGGGGTTAGTGTCTCTCTCTCTCTCTCTCTTTCTCACACACACACATAGTGTCATCCCTCTTGTCTCTTGCTCCTCATTCCATTGTCTTTCTTTCTTTTACACACTATCATCCCTTCTTTTTCTCGCTCCTTCCACTATTTTGTATAACCACTAGCATTGCCTTCCCAATCCAAACACAAAGTGAATCACCATCTCCTCAATTTATGTGGCATTTTTGGATTGCATAATTGAAAATTGTGGATTTAGAATTTTTCCTAAGCGACTCGCTTTTGGCTTGAGCTTGGCTCCAGCTAGGTTCAAGCTAAGCTTGAACATCAAGCCCCAGCCCAACTTTGAGCATGCCTTGAATAGCTCGAGCCAAGCCGGAGTATAGTCAAGATCAAAACGATTTGCTTGATTAACACCCTAGTGACTAAGTGACAAAATTTTGATTACAATAAGATGCCAAATGCCTTCAATTAAATACCAGTTGGAACAGTTCATTTTGATATTTAGAATTCAGTTTTAGCGCTCACCATAATATGGTTCTAGGAGTTATGGAACCCAATGCTCACTGTTGATCAAAACTTTCAAATAGTAAGCTCACTTCTGTAAATTTATATTGAAATTGGCTTTTCTCATATTTGTTGTCAACCACTATCAATTCTACCACAAAATCAACTCTTAAGGATCTTCATTCTTAGTATCCTAAAGCTTTTCAAGCCTTGCATGCTTCCATTGAAGGAGACTTCAAAAAATGGGTATGTGAAAGCTTTATCTTCTATTAAATCTGTGTAGTAATTAATCAACACCACATGTTTGAATCTGAAAAATCACATGAGGTGAATCATCGAGGAAGTCTATCATGGCATTTTCTACTAATGAAATGCTCATTTTTCAATTTGATAAACCAAATACAATAATAGGCCTATTTGGGGAGCTGAAATAGGTTGATTTCATAGGATTTGGAGTAAAATAAGTCAAGGTCGTTTGAACTTGAGCTTTTGGACCAGTTTATGCAACAACTTTTTGGACTCAAAAAGATTTAGTTTGGCGGAATCAAGAAGCTGATTTTATGGGCTTTTCTTTCGATTTTTTAGAGTATTGTCGCATGGTTCAAAGTCGCGGTATCGGCCATCGACTCGGAGGGCACTGAGACACATCGGTCGCGGTGTCGCGGCGTGGTATTGACCGATACGCTCAAAATGCTACATAGAAGACCCAAAAAAATATAAAAAAATCATGAAAATTTTTAAAAATATGTAAATATCATATGCATTATATCCCAAAAATACATTGTTTAACATATTAAACATAATAAAAATGAATTATAAGGACTTTACCGAAAAAATTTACCATCATTTAAGATGAATGTTTTTATTTAAAAACACACTAAACTTTAAACATATGTTATTAGAATTTTTTTTAACTTACTAGTACCTAATTTAAAAAAAAATAAAAATAAAAATAAAAACAACAAATATGTATCCATAAATTATAAATTTGACAAGTACAAGTAGATCTCAATACTTTACATGAATAATTTTGTGTTCGATTACTAGATTAATGAGTCATTGTTCTAATTTAATTTTATTTTTTCTTCTAATTATTTTTTCCAATAATTTACTAATTGAATTAGAGATTTTTGGAGTAAGGGGTCAATAAAATATAAACACACGTGTAAAGACAAAAAACAAAGGAAGGGGTGTGGCCCATAAAAAATATAAACACTGTGGTTTGTGTCTTCTTCTTGCCTCTCGATCACGAGAGAGAGAGAGAGAGAAAGAGCGATCGAGAAGCTAACAGTGAAGGAAAGAGCGAGAGAAGAAGAAGAAGAGTTTCTCCTATGGATCTCTACCGAAAGAAGCGAACAGTAAGGAACGATTGAAGATTTTTTGATCTGTAAACTTAGGATTTCTGCTATGGGTCTTCACCGAAAGAAGAAGAAGAAGAAGAAGAGGTCTTCTGATCAAGGTGATTCTTCGATTTTTTGGGTCTTTTACACCTCATCTCTTCATTTGTTTTTGAATTTCCTCAATATTGGCGGTCTATTCTATGCAAATCAACCAAGTTGTGCCGAGTTGGAGTCGACTCACTATGAGTCTCACCCAATTTCTTCTTCCTTGCTCTATTTTTTCTTGGGTTTTTGCTACCCAGATTTTCCAAAATTGATTGCACCATAACAGTCAGACTCGGTTTGATTTGACCGAGTCTAACCGATTTAACTCCGAGTTGAGTCGATACCATCGAATTGTAACCGAGTCAGGATTGATTCAATTGAATCTCATTATATTGATGTACCGTGTATCGTTATTGGATCGGCAACTGCTGAGACGGATACGACTCGGCCGAGTTTACTCGGACGATACTTTGAACCATGTTTTCTCGCGAGTCCCACGTAAATTTTTAATTTATTATTGTAACGACAAATTACATGTGTAATATAAACACAAAAATAATGTCAAAATTACAATTGTTGATTTGAATAGAAAAGTGGTGTTGACTTTTTTCGGTGTACTTCTCACGTGTACTATCCTCTGATTCTCGATGGATTTGATGATAACAAGAGCCAGACCGGTGTGTTTCTCGATCTTTGATTTAGGACTGACTTTGGTAAATTTGGTGAAGATAAAGGCTTGATCAGCGTGTTCCTCAATCTTCGATTTGATGATACTTTGATAGATTTGTTGAAGACGATGATCGGACTTACGTGATTCTCGTTCTTCGGTCTTTGATTTGGTAGACTTGTTGAATTTTCTTACCGTTCTTTATGTTGGATGGCTTGAAGATGATTTGAATCTCTTGAACAAGGACCTTGGCGATGTGATCTTCTCCTCAGAGATTGATTTGAAAGTCTTCGATTGGGGGTAGGCTTCGGCAAAGCTTCGCTGCTTATATTTTCTTCTCCTCTTTAGATGGTCTCGGACAAAACTTCTTGATATTCCCTCCTCTTGGCCTTTTTCCTTAGCTCCTTTTTTTTTTTTATTCCTTATCCCCTTTGGCCTCCCCTAGATCTCTATTTATAGTGTTAGGAGTAGTTATCCATGTAAAGGTATTTTACCTGAATACCTTTATATGGGCATAGGGAGTGGGCTACCCATTTTTAGGTTTTAATTAATTTAAGCCCAACCAATTTACCTTCAAAAGTTTGTTTAATTTGAGCTTATAGAATTTAAGTTTATTTTAATTTAATTTAACAAGTATGGCTAATTACATTTAGGCTGGTATTATTTGGGCAGTAGAATTTAGGTCCAACTCAAGCCAGTTTAATTAGATTTAGGCTTGTCTTATTTGGCCTTATGAAAATTAGGTCCATAACAATTTAATTTAGAAACTCATTAAATTTGAACCCACTAATAAATATTATTTTATTTTTTAATTTTTTAATGTTTACAATTATATTCATAAAATAATATTAGTCGCATAAAAAAAATTGAAATTAATATTTTGAGAACTATTATGCATAATCTATACATACATATAATTATTTTTTTATTTTGACACAGAAAAAACCAAAAAAAGGCTAAAAAGTCATTCCAAATGGACTTTTTCAACTTTTTAAATAACACCCTAAACGGTTTTTTGGGGCTTTTTTAACTCTGATTTTTTTGATAAACTTTTCAAACCGCAGCTTTTCACCTAAAAAGAGACCACTTCCAAACAGGCCCAATATTGAATCATTTTGGTAAAAGAAATCTTATTCATACCCAATTGAAGTGTTAGAAGTACATCCCCTTGACAATCCAATAGGAATGCTTCAACTAATTGTTGCTGTAACAAACATTCAAATCTTAAATGAACATATTTCATTTCTCAAAAGTTCTATAAATAATATTGCATAAGGACTACTTATGATGAAGAGAGTACAAATTTCAATTGCCGACATGGGTATATGATTAACAACTGTGAAAATGTTAAATAAAAAATAATTCAATTGTGAACTGACAGACAGACATTGCATCAAGTCAATAAAAGGTCCTTGCCCTTTTGTAACACTATTGTCACAAGATTCTCAGGAAAACTACTCTAGCCCACAAGACAATAGAAGTTTCAAACATATGACAAAGTAACTGCCAGGCATAAACAGACAGAATCCAACCAAGATGATATTGCTATTACAGTCCATTCAGCCCAGGCCTCAACTTCGTCATGGGCCCATGGCAGACAGAATGAATTTTCCTTGTGAATTACACAATACCCCTATCCCCTAATCGCCATTGAAAATCTCTCTCAAAACATCTAATACAATATCTGTCATGAAATTCAAGTTCTTTCCACACCAGAGGCATAGAAGAATACTCTTTATGACATGGCTTAGGCATACCTATCAAAATACCGTATATGTGAAGCCTACTTAAAGTTAGTAGAGCAGAAATGGGTAATATTTGGACCAAAAATAAAAAAATTCTTCATATGAGCTGGGAAGACGGAACACCACTGATCATAAGATCAATTTGAAACCAACTCTTTTGCAACAAAATGTACAAAATAATGAATATTGTCGACTATAACGGTTTAAGGTAGTCAAGGCCAAAATATCTAAACCCCAAACTCATCACAACGATCCAAAAACAAACCCATCTTAGTAAAATTTCCAAACACCACCTGTTTGATTTGGATAGATTGGGAACCCCAGGTTCACATTTTCCCAGGTCCAATAACAATCTTAACATAAGAACTGATAGATGTATAGATCCATAAATGACTTGCAGTTAGCAATATATGCATCAGATAAGGCAGGTGGCGGTAAGAGTCAGGCACTAGAAACTTGCTAATGGATACGATTACTTTAGAGCAAGTAAGCATTCTGATTTCTCCCTCCCACAAGCATGCCATCCCACAATCTTTTTTGTCTTATAGGAAACACACTTTCATTAATATGCTATGCCACAATCTAAATTTCACAAAGCAATGCGAATTACGAGAATTTGAGGAAAAATTCACCATATGCCTCTGAAGCTGTTCTTTCCGCTTCATGAAATTGAGGCAGAACTCACAGAAGTACAGCTTCAAACAGTCATTGTACTCTGGTGGAAAGGGGGAGAAGTACCACGTCTCAATCTCATATCTTCCAAGTTCTATGGTTGCTATATTTTTCACTTTTGTAAATTCTTCATGTTCACGCAAGCTGGCAGCATCAAGCTCCTCATGGCCCTAATTGAAAGAATGTGTTTAACTGTTTTCAGTGAAATCTAAGACACATTCAAACAAATAGTATAAAAGAAAAGAAGCAAAAAAAAAAAATGTTGGTTATTTATTTATTTCATGATCTTTGAAATTATATTTTTCATTTTTTTTGTTTCACTTTTTTTGGTAATATAAATAAGCGATCACTAGCTTTTATTATTAAGAATCTGTACTCCTAACAATGACTTTTCAATCCCTCCTATCTTTATTTCCAGCTGTGCATCTCTCATGCCAAACAGACCATAGGCCCAGTTGACATTATCTATTCTTTAATTCTAAATGGTGAAGCATGCGAGAAGCACGCAAAAAAGACTTTCCTTTTCCGGGTTTCTAATAAGCAGGTGGTGGGTGTAAAAATCTGACATCAAACCCAATCACACTATGTCTATTTTTTAATAAGCGACAACATTTTATTAGAAGAAAAGAATAAAAAGTAAAATTTCAGGATACTATGGAGGACAAGACATTCCACCAATGATCCTCATATCAAAATAAGGAAGAAAATACATACAATCCACACAATGACATCTGATCTAAATCTATATCTATATTATTTATATTAGCACACTGGAAAAATATTTAATCCATACACGTCCACTCTAACTAGTATATCCACTTCTTTCATTGGACCCAAATCCTTTTGGACTCTCCTACTTTTCTATAAATAGTACAGCTAAAAACAAAACTCCTTTCCAATTGGTATTGATTAGAATCGGGTCTCCAAAGCATAGGTTAGTTTTTTTGGAGGTTGCATATCCATAGGTTATTAGGTGCATGTAGGTTCCTATTTGACTTCGATTGGCTCTAATGCAAACTTTCCAATCATCTTCTTCTTGTAAAACTGGAAGGCATCCCTATATAAACAGAGGTTTAAGGCATTTATTAATCAAGATACAAGTAATGTATATTAATCAGCCCAGATATATATTAGTAATACATACACATGTGACCCATCAATGTAGAGGTAATATGGGTAAAAATAACAACTCCGCCTATGTCTAAAAATAGTCCACTCACAAAGTAGGTTGTACACCAACTAGTCGTACAAAAAAGAGGAATATAGTCAAACTCTTGGTCACAGGAATCCTTAAGAAGCCAAAAGAAATGACCTATATCTCATATGCAATCTACCATACCCGATCACGTGTATAATTTATGCAATAGTGACAAATTCATATACCAATTCATTCTATTAGAGTTTGATAGGCAACTCTTACAAAATGTTTAAACAAATAGAAGATAAATTATCTCAAAGGCTAAATTCTGAAGGAGTCAACACCCAAACAATTTTAGCTTTAATTACTTGATCAATGTAGATTAACCTCATTCCTGTCTGATAAATGATATAAATTAAACATGTGATTCATTCAAAAGTTGAAACTATTTATAAAAGGTCAAAAATATTTCTCAAATTACTAAAGATTTGTTGGTCCCAGAATCGATACCTGCAGTTTTTGCATGTGGAATGTTGCCCAGATTTTTTGTGCAAGGGACACAAACCAACTTGATAATGCTATTGAGAAATAATATAATTTTCAAGTGGTGATCTCCAGCATTTTGATAGCTGTTTTATATCCGCTTCCTTTTGGGATTGTCTTACAACTTTGAACTAAATAACATACTACTACTCTTCAACTAACCATTAATAACAAGAAAACAAAGTACCAAAATTACGTAGTATTAAAATCAATTACATTCCTATACATCACAACAACAAAATCAATACTAATGGTAAATATGGTAGTTCTGCTGCTGTTAATCAGAATAGCAACAATGATAACGGGAGGATGAAGATCTATGAAGCAATTATAAATATAACTCATTATTACATACCTCTACATGTGTCTCGTCTATCTTACGTTTCTGGTGGCGTGTCATTTTCAAGCTTGTCACCTAGAACCTCGTCAGAAAACCATTCCAGTCAGCATGTGCAAAGAATTGCGCTTGTTACATGAATAATGGAAAAAACAATGTATAAGTTAGAAGGAAAGCAAACTTAAATGGGAAACTAAACCAGCAGAATTTTTATTAGCACTATCTACAAGATGAGGGAAAGCCATCCAAAAACAACCCCTAACACCTCAGGTAAACTGAGAACATGGCAGAGTAGAATACATAAGAAACTATATTCATCAATATAGACAGAACACATTGCTACTGAGATAATTGAGACCTTCAGAAGATAAAAAAAAGTACATAAGCACAAAAATTACCTTGTCCTCCACCTTTTCATCTACAACAGTCTCCACTGAATTGAGATCAAGTTGTTCAAGTTTAACCCATTCATCAAGCCTCCTATTGACTGTCAAAATAACGAACACAAACTTGGCAAAGATGAAGAGTTGAGGGTTAAAGTAAAAAAACAACAACAAATTCATCAGTACTACTAGGCTATTTCAACTAGTATCATATGTACAACTCAGACCACAGGCATACCAGAAAAACAAAAATTTAGCAACTGCGAAAAGGCAAGCATTTATATTGGAATTTCAAAATGTGGAACCAAAGGTTGAAAAATAAAAGTATCCATCAACTTTGTTTTTTTGCATGTTGAGATAAGAACAAGCATAGGCATTGCTTTCCCACAAATTTAGGAGATACAGAAACCCAAAACGAAAGCCAAAAACAAATTATTTCCTACAAACCATTCTCATCTTCCACCTTGTCTTAAAAAATTCTTGCATCCCTTTCTAATGATTCCACCTAAAAGATTGTCTGCACCACGTCTCCAAAGAGAACGGCCTTTTTATTTTCCCCCCAAAAAAACTTAAACTCAATCACAAGCACAGCATCAAAAGAAAATGGAGATATCCAATCCACCTCCTCCAACAACCGTATTCTACTCCATAATGTTGATCCAACACGAGAATGAAGGATTTGATGGTTAAGAGTTTACTCACTCTTTCTGCCCATAATACACAATTGCGGACGAAGAGAATCTCCATATATTTTTATATTTCTAAATCTTTACCCAACTTTGTTATGGTCATTGCTTTACTGTGTATCTTGTATACATCACACCATCACAAAGGTTTTAGGAATGACTATCATTTCTTGTTAATTTTTTCACCTCTGTCAACCCCCACTAGTACCTTTGCATAACTTCAACACTGTGTCTATTATATCCATTCTATCCAATACTTTTTCTTACAAAATTCAAATATAACTACAATATTGGTCTTTCATCCAATTCCATGATCCAATATGTATTACACATTCCCTTTATAGTATTCAACCTATATGATTAGCATTTTGCCCATAAGATGTTTTCGGTTGCATACCCATGAAGGATAGAAGAGGAAGAAATAAGAGAATACGAAAGAAGAAATATCAAACCCTTGCAAGGATTAGGTCAAGAAACACAAAAAATTCTCCACGTAGAAAAATTTATTAATAACACACTACAATAAAAATGATGGAGATTATATCGATATTTATAGGCTAAATCTTCTAACAAAATCAAAACTACTATCCTACTAAAATTCTAAAAAAATTTCATAATCAAACTCCCAAATTTTATCATACTAAAACTCTATAATAATTCCCAAATCAAACTCAAACTCTAACACTCCTAGTCCAACAAATATTGTCTAATTAAATAATCTAATATATAATGAAATTAATAATGTTTAATATTAATATAATAATGTTCAATATTTAATATCTTATCTATTTTAAATATGTACATATTATTTTTCCCATAGTTTAATTTTTGTGTCAAATCTTATGATTATCATTTCGATAATTCCCGGTTCTCAAATTTGAGATTTCAATTCTCGATACGAATTTCAATTTAATAACTATGCCCACTACCTTTGCATAACTTCACAACCCGAGTATATTATATTCATTCTATCAAATGCTTTTTCCTATAAAATTCCAATATAACAACTATAATATCAGTCTTTCATCCAATTCCATGATCCAATGTGTATTATATTTTCCTTTTATAGTATTCAACCTATATAATTATTATTTCGCCCATCAGATGTTTTTGGTTGCATACCAATGAAGGATGAAAAAGGAAGAAACAAGAGAATAAAAGAAGAGATATCAAACCCTCGCAAGAATTAGGTGAGAACAATTTATTAATAACACACTCTACAATCATAATGGTGGAGATTACATTGATATTTACAGGCTACGTCTCCTACCAAAATCAAAACTACTATCATACTAAAATTCTAAAATAATTTCATAATTAAACTTTCAAATTTTATCATACTAAAACTCTATAATAGTTCTCTAGTCAAACTCAAACTCATAACACTCTTAGTCAAAAAAATATTGTCCAATTAAATAATCTAATAAATAATGAAATTAATCCTAATTAAACCACATCTTTCCTAATTAATATAATAATACTAAAATAAATAATAAATTTAAAATTTTCAATTCAAGTTTATCCAATTCCCCCATACTCCCCGTAATACCCCATTGCATGGATAAATCCAACATTTTCCTTTGCATTTTATACATTTCTTGTATCGTAGAATGAGACACTCTCCGAGGCAGTTGAATGTCTAAATATTAAATTCGAAGCTAATTTATTCTTCAAATTTATCAGTCAATAGGGAGACTTGATGACAGACGCCATGGATGAAGCGACATCTTTTCTTTTTCTTTTTTTTTTTTTTTGAGATATACTACCAACGTATCTCCAACTAAGGAGGTTCAATATTAATTTGAAACTAAGAACACCCTTGCAATCCGTGGTATTCATCTACAAATAATTTAGTCACATAATATGTTTTACTAAACAAAACATTGGTCAATCTTATGAATACTTACGGCCAATGTTTGGCAATCACTTTGGTCCCATAAAAGAAAAATGCTTGATTTGTCCCTGATCCATTGCCTCTTCACCTAATATCCATGTTATTACTATCGTCATTTCAATTCTCTTGATATAGCGCCATAGTTTACACATAACCTAGGATAACCTCCATTAAACCTACATAATAATTTTTTCATGTAATCTATCTCATCCATCAAAACAACTTGTATTAGCTCTACTTCCAACTGCACGTGATCTTATATACAGCCTCATCCTTCAACGAGTCATTACTTATAGGTAAACAAAAGTAACCCCAATACTATTCTGTCATCCGTCAAAATATTAACAATTTTATAACCAATAACAGCCAAAATAAGTAGCAAAACTTTAATCCCAACCACAAAATTTTCAAACTTTTTCAGTTAATTATGAAAATTACAAGCAAAACAAACTTCATTACATGAAAAACACAATAACAGCAGATAACATTACCAAACCCCAGCTCAATTGACCCTAGTACAATTTTTGGCCTAATTAACACGAGCTTTTCATTCATCACAAGTCAAAATTAGTTTCGGTTGTTCGTCCTCTATTTCCAGGCATCCAAACAGACATAATAGCACACATTTAAGTAAAAAGAAAAAAAGAAAACCTAAAACACTAATTATCCGTATCTAAATTGAGGATTAAAAAAGAGAGATTAACAAAAATTCTTACACTCGGTGTAGTGAACGTAGTACTCGTAATCATTGGCACCGCCCGACTGCACTTTGCGCCGTTCGATGACTTTTACTGGATGAAACTTTCCGTCTCTCCAACGGCACATGACGCGAGTACCGACCTCGAGAGGTAGCATACTCGCTTTCCTCTTCCTAGATGCGTCGTTTTCCGTCTTCGTACCGGCATATTCTGACGCCGATGGTAGCACAGATCCGTGGCCGCCGACGGCGAGCTGGGCATCAGGAATTGGGATTGGGGTTGAGCCGTTCTCTGTACCCGTCTGTGTGTCTATCGAACCCATTTTTCGTAGAAGTTTGGAAATTCTGTTCGGTGCACTAGTAATTAGTAATTAACATCAGCGGAAACAAATGGACTTATACCCCCAAGATATTTAAATATTCCTATTTTACACCCTTAAAAGTCAGATTTCTTATATTTCACCATGTATTAAAGGGGGTGTTTGGCTTGCCGTGGGAGAATTGAGTTGGATTGGATACTGTTCCCAATCTCATCCATGTCAATCCAAAGTAATCCGACCTATTCTGGATCCAATCAATTTTATCCAATCCAAAATTTGGTTTGGATAGAAAAAATGAGAACCGTGGACTCTATGCATATGTTCAAATCAATCTAAATAAAATGACCATTGCACCTTTTTGCAAAAAAATGTATTCTAATTCTATACTAAGTTTGGTTGGCTGGATAAAGTAAGTAAAATTAGTTTGGATTAGTAATTTTTTTTTGGAAACAGTGACTAATAACAATTTTGAATGCCCTAAATTAAGTTATGATTATTTGGAAGCAAATTTATGATTTAGTATATTACATGAAGTGTACATAATTTAATATTTCAATATTTTTTTATATGTTAGATTAACAACACAAGATAGAACAATTTTTAAATTTCTTATTTTTGTTACAACACATAATTTATGATAAAAATTGGAAAAGCTTCAAATGCAGACAGAGACAAAGAGGGGAGAGAACAAAAACAAAAAACACAAACAAATATTTTAAACAGTAAAAAACATTGTGCCCATCTTCGAACATGGCCTACACGTCAAAAAAACATATTTGAGAAAGAGAGAGAGAGAGACAAATCCAACCTATCCATAACAAAACCATAATAGCCGCAATGCACGTCTCAAATGAAACATAGTGGCCCCATTGCTCCTCCTACCCATAAGCAATAGCATAAACCCAAATGGGTCTCTCAAAGCAACCAATTTGTCTTCTATCAAAAACACCATTAAATAAGCTCCTTCAAAATTCTCACATGCACAATTTAAGAATCACTAAGTACGTCTTGACCTTCTCAAAATTCATGGGGTTGCTAGTATAATTCTTCCTATCTTACTGTGACTAAGAAATAATTGGGCACAAAATTGCAAATCTAGAAGTGCGAGTGTAAGCGACGTAACTGGCCACTCCTCTCTGTGAAGACATTGAAGAGCCCCCCAACACCGGTGATTAATTGAAGAAATTTGTCGTTCACGATGATGATTCTAACACCTGCAAGGCAAAGGACGATTTTGAGGTGTAGCAGAGAAAGGTTTGAGAGATGGGGATTTTTCGTAGATAGAGAGAGAAATGAGGATTTTTTGCAGATAGATAGGGAGAGAAGCATATCTGCTTCTTCTTCCATCGTGTGCCATTAAGAGAGAGAGGTGAAACTAGTGGGTTGGAAATGAATTGGCGGACAAAAAAAGGTAAAACCCTAATCAATTACAAGGGTATTTTCATAAAAAAATGATCAATCCTATCAACAAAATTTGAATCCCACATGCTCCATGGGTTACACATATCTGCTTCAAAAGGGATATTGGGCTCCGATCTCTATGGCCCGATGTATTCAAAGCCTACTATTATCTCACTCTATTTTGTGGATCCAAAGTTGGGTTTTGTGTGTGACGCCCCTAAAATCGGGAGTTTTATTTTAACCGTTGACCACCCATCAACCCACGGAAGTACCCATGATTGTCGCACAACCCGACATTACGTCAATAGCATCCCCTTAACCGGAATCTTCACTCACACGTGTAACCTATGTACATTATACTATTTGACTAACCAAGGTCCAATATACCAATATTTATCCTCATTTGATGTCCATTTATAACCTTGGAACCAAAGAATCCAAAGCCCAAAAGCATGGCAAGGTAGTCTTAAATTTGTAGATTTTTTTTTTGGAGAACCTACCGGTAGGTTTTTCCTGATAAACAAAGTTCTGCCTGTACGCGATCCTACCAATAGGTTCTATTGGTAGGTGTTGCCCACTGGACAACGATCTATCGATAGGTCCTACAGGTAGGTCTTGCCCAGATTTGCCTATTTCACCTATTTTTCATTTTCAATTCAGTTCAAGACATATTATTTCCATCCAACATATGTATATGAAGATTTTCATATTACACAAAGTCCATACAAACTCTATTACATTCAATTCCATGAATTTAAATATCAAAAACAAAATTTTCATAATCATTTACAAAAACTCAAAATAAAGCCATATCCCGACTTTCTTCATCCTTGAGGACCCATGTGAGGGCCTTCCTCCAGCGTGTATCCCGCACTTGAAATATTTTCTCGTATAGGGTGAGCCACGTCCAATAGAGTATTTCCTACAGAGGCTACTCCCTAAACTAAGTGCATATGAAATGTTCATGCAACATTTAAAAAACAATAACCATTCCAATCAAGATCAAACAAGTCTATGTTAGAATCTAACGAGTCATGTCATGATATGCGATGACACCCACTCATGCTTTTCAACTCGAGCCCTTCTTGGCTCCTTTCACCCATGCAATATTATGAGTATAACACCGGGTTTCCAAGCCCCCGCCATTAGCGTTACACACCCAATGACTATTTTTAAAAAAATATCTCCAGGTCTTTCTTGGGGTAGGTTTTTATGGACTTCCACCAACGGCACCCAACCGAAACGGAATTTATGGACTTCTACCAATGGTTCCGCGTACATCGACACACTTTATGAGCTCTTACACCAACATAGTGCGTATCCGATCACTGGGTCTCTCACCCAAGGGATAGTCTAGCCCTTCTTGCTAATCCCGACTCTATTTTTTTTTTCATGCAACCGTGCGACTCAGTTAGATCTTCGATTCAACCTTCCCAAGCCCACCAATTATCCATATATGTGGTGTCTGATGTCAACCATGCACACACACTCATACTCATGGCTATGGATGCGGTTCTTCCGTGCAAATGTAATGTAATGCACCATTGCTATATTAATGTCATGCCCATATGTAATGAATGTCACATGAGCAAGTTTAACTACATTTCTACATATTTTATGGTCAATTATATCATATGCATATAATCATCAAACTTTATCATAATGTTAATGTGTCAATAAACGCACATCAACATTTAATATCCAATAATATATCCGAAGCATGTTATTACATAATACGTACCCATGAAACACTCCAATCACAAAGACATAATATAAACACATAGCGTGCCCACATAATATCAAATTCTATTGAATTACACAAGTAATTTTCACATTTTAATTCAAAGCTAGAAAATTTATTTCAAACCATTTCAATACCCATTTTCATTAATTTCACAAACATGGTAAGTGTTAAGTCTCTAACAACCTACCCATCTCATATAACACCTTAGGTTAGAAAATAAACTAAAGTAGGAAGGAACCCTACTTCTTGAAGCATAAAACCAATGGTATAACCTTCAAGAATGTCAGCCAAGTCCAAACTCTTCATTTCCTCAAATCTCATCCTTGGAACTTTCGGTAAAACCTACTCTTTTTGGTATAGCCGCGTAGCCCTCGTCGAGAAGATCGTCTTTTGTTCTTGGCCCGTGTTGATTTGAGCACCATAAGGCCATAGATCGTAGAAAGAAATAGATTTCTCTCCCTTTTTCTCTCCTCTCTCTCTCTCCCTATCGGGTGCACGACTGAACAAAAGGGGAGAAATATCATATTTCTCCCCTTTTTATACTCCCAAAACACTTGGTCCATAACACGCCACATGATCCTTTTTTTTCTGAGTCCGTTTTTGCCTCAAAACGATTAAATTTTATCCCGATTTAAGTTCAAAATATTTTTATTTTAACTTACCTCAAATTATTTTTCAAATTTCAAAACTTATTAAAAATTTTATTTTTGGTTCACCCGAAACTCGATCGCCTCGTAAAACGTAAAAAATTTTGCTATCTCAAAATTTGATGAAATTTGACAAGGTAGCTAGATTTCGTGGGACGAATCCAACGGTGAGGTCCGTTTCATCATCCGAGTTCTAGAAAAATTTAATTTTTTAACCCGTACCGTAGCAACAAATTACCGTTTTGCCCTTTTTGTGAAAAATTCAAATTTACTAGGGTTTTACATTGTGAGCCCTTGGATTATTTTACCCAATCCAACTTGCCTTATCCCCCTTTATCCCTCAAACTAAACACCCCCTAAAAGTATTACAATTTGACTTGTTAGTTTCTATGACTCATTTCATCAAAAACCACTTCATTGACATTGACATAATGAACAAGGAACTTAATGATAGGGTCACATTATAACATGTTTAACTCATTAAGGGTAAATTTGTCAATGAATTAGATTTTGATCTGACTCTAAATCCTTTTACACGAATATGGAGTAAAAATTTTATTCGGTTGCCCGAATTCGATCCAAATCGGTTTAGATCTCTTGAAACAGATAAAAATTCGAACCAATATATATTTATACCTATATTTTATATCTATATCTATATCTATACCATTTAAGAAAATATGCAAGAGATCATAAAAAAAATATCATTTTATTGTTCAATACCAAGCACTAGAGTTTAGAAATCAAGAACAAAGAAAAAATCAAGGAAAAAAATCAATTTCTCTTGAAAACTAGGGTTTTAAGACAAGAAAAAGAGATTTTATGGCTATCTAACCATAGCTTTATTTAAAACATGGTAATATTTACAAAAATATCAAGAATCAAAGATTTTCTAACATATAAATAGGATTTAAAGTCAAAACATACATATATATAAATCTAGCCTCAATGGAAGAGAATAGGAAGAAACCCATACTTTTCTTCTTCCTTGGTGTTCTTGAAAAAATGGAAGTTTTGATCCTCTTTAATGCACAAATCCCTCTTAATCTTGTATTTTTTTTCCCCTTATTTCTTCCTCTCTAAGCCTCTCTAGAGTTATATATGTTGAAATGGGGCTAATGAAGGTGTCTTTAAGTATTTATAGTGGAAGAAATGGTCACCTATGCGTGATTTTGAAACCCAGATTTCGTAACTCACGTTCGAACATCATT